CCTATTGTCGGCGGCAACCATAAGTGGACAATGGCAATAAAAATGCATGACCATTTAGCGCTAACAATAACAGCAATAATATGTTGTAAGCCACATAAAAGTAACGAGGCACCTTAACTCAAACAACAACAAAAATAAGAAGAAAGAACACCACATGACATTGTAAAATACTCTGATTGTAGGCTTGCCACACGCAACAATAAAACCGTAAGAGTTTGATTTTATTTTTTATTTTTGAAAATTAAATGGCTTACGAGTATCTTGCATGAAAGAAAGGAAGTAAATACTCAAATTCAGGTAACAAAAAGGAAGAGGCATCAAGCTGCAGAGATGAGTTGGACCAATACGTTCTTGTAGGAGAAGCTTATTATGTGTGAATAAAAATGTTAAACGAATTTGCAAACCATTTCAAATTAGAATACCGATTGGATGGTATCAGCTGTTAATGAGTATAAGACCTCATTCGACGAACTGAGGGTACTCTCCCTTTTTGTTAAAGTAGTTACAGATAAAATAATTTTGGATTTGAATGCCTTTTTTACATTTAATGATGCCTATCAAGTATTAATTGAAGAGTAAGAGAAGAAAGCGAGAAAACCATAGAAACCAATTGGTTTCCATAACAATGGATTTTACCGTACATAATCAGAACAGATTCGGATTTTGATTAGGGCAAGGACTGGCATATTGTACATTCCCATCATAGAAATTCGAAAATTAGAAAATTAGCGCCGAGAGTTTCGCTATTAATCTCTGCTATTACCATGAATCTGGATTTCTATTCAGAACGATCTGTCATTTCATAAGATTGCAGAAAACTACTGTTGGAGAATGTTTTATCGTGTTACAGGAACAACAATGCAATACGACAACAACGGATCTTATACAAACTCAATTTACATAACCTCAAAACTATTGCGCGGTATAGTTAATAAAAAGGAATAATTGTAGTAAGGAACTAAGGACCTCTTTAATGTAACAGCAGACCCAGAAAGTTTGCACCAAACAGAACTTCGTTCGACTAAAAAAAATTTAAAAGTTCCCGCTAGATCTTGCAAAACTGGAGGCACATAAAGAAATTAGGTCCCGTAAATAAACCAAGTTTTTGATCTTTCGAAGAAACCAATTAAAAATAGAAATATTTTGACATTTGGCTACTTTACTTTTAAGAACACCGTATTCGTACCGCCCTATACTTACAACACATTTAATAAATATACATATTTTAGACTCAAAGCCTTCTAATTAGCGACATATGGTAAGCAGAACGTCAAAATAATAGGCTGACGTGCTCTATTTAATTCTGCCAGAGCCATCAACATACAACATACTTTCGAGCTACTGAAGAAGAAAGACAAGAGTGACAGTTGATAGCCGACCACACACCAGCAGTTGCAGAGAAAATAAGCGCTTTGACCAGCTGATTTACACTTGGCTGCCGTGGCGGCAAGAAGAAAGAATGAGGAAATCGGTGTGCGCTCCATAAAACAGACATTAATCAACTCTCTACTGACACTTTTAACCAACAACAAGTTGTTGTTGTAGTTCTTAAGCAATAACACACAAATTTGATGCTACCAATTGCTTATTGCTCTGCTCTGCTCCAGTCACCACACTTGAACTGGAGTTGACCACAATGTATACACTTGTTGCTTTTGTTGTTGGCACTGTAAACACTTTAAACTTGCAGTGAATTTATTTTTCGAAATGCGCGCTTGTTTATGATTCACTATGCCACTGCTTCGACAGGTAAGCGGAAGAAAATTATTTACAAATTTTTTATTGCGTTGGCTCAAAACACTTGTACCGACCCGACCCGCATGTGCTGACTAGAATGACTGACGTAGTCGTGTCTGTGCATGGGAGCTGCAGCCAGTCAGACTTCTTGCTGTTATGTCAATTACGAATTTGTTTACATTGAGTTGAGTGAGTCTGCGGCATGGCGATTGAGTGGAGTTGTGAGTTGAAAATTGAAATTGTTTTTGAGTTGAGTTATTTTTTGAAAGACTATTTCGTAAGACTGAAATTTTGTAATTGCAATTAGAAGAAAAAAACATTTTTTTAAGAAATTTTATTATTTTACACTAATTTACAGTCATTTTGCGAACGTGATGTTAGAGGCTGTTTCTTGTTAATTTTGGGTTACCAAAACCGCAAATGAGTAAAAATTTTCTAACACGTAGGATTTTTTGTGTTGTCAGCAAGGGTGTAGGGATTAAACCACCACCATTTACTAAAATGACAAAAATAGCTGTAACTGATGGAAAATTTTTGAACTCAAATTCGAAATCAGAACACTTCAAATACTACCACAGACCTCTAATCATATCAGTAGCAAATTTTTCCTTCAGATTTGTTGAGTAGTGTTTTTTTCCTGAAAATATTGTGGATTTCAGTAAAAATAAGCAAAAAATTACAGCGATTATTCCAATGACAGCCCGGTCTACATAAGAAGAAAGGACCCAGATCGAATCAAGACAGAAGCTCTGTCGTCACAGCAGAATTGTCCCAAAACTATTAGTAAAATTCTTAAACTGCAATAATCACAAAAACTAACGAATTTTGACTATTAAATAGGTGATTCTTACTGAATGTAGGTTGGGTTAAGTTAGATAGTAAGAATGATTCCCGTTACGGAGAACACACTTGGTGAGTTAAAGAGAAATTCTTTCTGATACCGAAAAACTCCTGAAGTTGAATCTAAACACTCGTGTGAAAACAAAATACCTTAAACTCATCACAAATCCGTTACTGTGATTGCTTTATATACCAGTTAAGGGGTTATATGCAGATGTGAATTTCGAAAAATCGATTATGCTTTTTGAATATACTTACATACATACATAATGTAAATTTTAAGTTGTCCTGACAAATAGTTCCCTTAATATGAACGTTTTTGTAAGAATTTATTAAGTTAGTACAATTTGCTCCCAAAAATGCGTTTTTCTTGAAATGCTGGTTTCAGAGTCTGTGAGGAAAAATTCTCCGAAACGGCTGGACCGATGGACTTGAAATTTTCACACGACCTTCATATCAATTTTTGAGCCACTCTGAAATGTAAATTTTTTCACAAAAAACGACCTATTTTTGGGAGGGCACCATGTTGTCACAAATCATAATTTTGACTAGACTTCGATCTTTACTTGTATTCATCTATTGTAAAATTATTATTTTTTTTTGTTTGGAGATTAGATATAGTTTTAGGCAGAAAAATCTTTCTCACCACCAGACACCTTTCTTCGAAGCTCTTCTTGTAGAAGACGGCTACGGAATCAAGAGAATACAAAATTTTGCTATATGAATCGGCGATTATTACAGTACATTAAATTCTTTAAATGAACATTTTATTTATTTGTTTATTAGAATACATAAAATATTTCTTTAAAAAAATTAACAAAAAAGATACTGACTTGAAAGTGGATATAGCCCATTAATTTACCTTGATGATAGAAGCTATAAAATTGCAGATTTTTTAACCGTAGATTGTTAGAGAAGGTAGAGAAGAAAGAATTGAGGTGATTAGACCATATCTTTTTGCAAATAACTTCCATAAACTTTCATAACTCGGATCCGGTAAATTTAGCCGCAGCAGTGAAAGCAACTTTATAAAGATTTCATTTGAATATATAAATAAAATTTTGCCACCAAAACTTCGTTGAAAGGATCGTAAGCCAGTAAAGCGAACAAGAATTAGCTACAGCGATTAAAAAACTATAAGCTATTTCACGTACATTTGTTGTTCAAAGAAAAATTTCGGACGAGAAAAGATGTTTACAATACAATACATTCTAAATTTCGCGCTGATGGATAATAACTTGGGAAGTTAAAGAAAGATTTCTGGGTGCGACTGGATAGTCTTGGAAGCAATATAAAATTTTCGTATGCAAATTGACTTGAAAGGAATGCCTTGGCTTAAAAAAGTTTTGCTATAAGTTTCCTTGGAGTGTTTTCGGCAATACAAGCAAAACTGTTTGATTTGCCTATACCTCGAAAACTGATATTTTGGAAAAATTAATAAACATATTTGTCTGATTCTCTAGTTGAGGATGCGTTTGCGCGAAAGCTCATTAAAAGTTTTGTAGGTTATAAAAATTATTACTAGAAATGATTGATTAATGAAGGTATAGATTTTTGAGTAGCAAAAAGGGCACTGAATCAGTTGGTATGCATATTAACTTAACCTGTTCCCACGACAGTCTGACAATTCCTGGATTGAGCCTGGATTTTCATACGATAACGACTGCTAACTATGCAACATTCTTCTAATTTTTTGAGGATTTTCTGTCGGTTCAAACAATAACATAATACGTAAAATAGTACATAATAAAACGAGTTCTAGCATGATCTCCATATTACTAATTTACTTATTTATGGACTAAGAACCTGAAAGCTGCTGCAATGAAGTAAGCTGTACCTACTTATGTATGTAAATTAAGGTTCAACCCACGAGCACAGTGCAATCTGGGGCGTTCTGCAACCCACAACACTTTTGATGTATAATTGTTAAGCTACTTGCTACTCATCACTGAATTGCTTAAGATCTTCTTTCGACAAAATGGAAATAACAGAAAAGGCAAAAGCCAGTGGAAATAAATAATATTTTCACAGGCAAGTAGTCGGTTGACAGCAAAAATAATAGTAATTTGCATATGCATACAGCGACACACATACACATATACACAATTTAGCATTTAATTATCGGCTTGACAGTGCAACAAATTGTGGCATGTGTAGGCAGTAGGCGACAATATCTGCCCAGAAGACTGAATAAGCAATTGTCTTACGGAAACGTGCAATAAAGAAGACGCAGCAACAACACTGCAATGCATGTATGTGTGTGTGTATGTGCGCTCATGCATATGCAAATATTTTCTGGAAGCGGAGAAAGCGGTGCTTAGCTGCTAAATCACTTAAAATGTCGACAGCGCAAAAACAACTGTGGAAAATGGAAAATTTTCTTATGAATTCGCTAGAAAAATAAACAAATCACAGTTACTCACATATTGGTGCGCGGTGTGGGTACTGGCGTCTTCTTCGTCAGCGATGACGTTAAGCTGGAACGACGTGAAAATTGCGCCGCGGTCTCCTCATCGGCCTCTTCGCCGAACGGATTGCGCGATATGCGCGGTGGTGGTGGACGTGGTGGCGGCACTTTGCCGCCTGTGGGTGTAGAGGCGGCCGTTGAGTTGCGTGATGATGACTTCTCCAGCTCAATCTCATCATCGGAGCTATCGAAAGGATTGAGATTTTGCGACTTCTCCGCTGATTTGGCGACTGTGCTGGCACCACGGGGTTGTGATGTTCTCAATGTAACTGGTTCTTTTTGTAGATTTTCCTTGTTTGTAACGAATTCGTCGTCGTCTTCGTCTTCTGATTTGAAGGGATTCAAGTCTTCGGGATATGCTTCGGTGCTAACTTTGCTGGGCGTTGTTGCCAGCTGCTTTTCTGGTGTTGTAGTGTCGGCGACTTTGCTGGACGTATCCAACTGTGCTTTGGGCGCGTCAACAGCGCTTGACATATCCAGTTTTGATTCTGTTTCTGTCATTATTGCATCTTCACTGTGCTCCACTACGCTTATTTCTATACGCGGTGCTGCCACTAGTGGTTTTTGTTCCGGCTCCTCTGCGTCTAATACTAAATTATTGTCTTTTACTGCTTCCGCTTCTAAAGGCACTTCATTCGTAAGCGATTCCTTGATTTCCTTTGCTTTAGTTTCGATTTTGTCAGCCTTCTCCGTTTCCATTGCTCGTAATTTCGCTTCGTCTTCGAGATTTACTTTAGTCAAACTTTCAGTTGCACTTGCTGCATTGCTTGTGGGCGTGGCTGGTGGCGTGGTGACCTTCGCAACCACTTCAGGCCCCGCATTCATTAGTTTCTTATCGCTATCAGTGTTAGTGTTATCGGTTTCAGGTTCACTTAGCTTATACTCAGTGTTTAGTGTTGTATTATTATCATTACGCGTATCATTATCGGCTTGCTTCTCCTCATTAGCGTTATTATTACGTTTGTTTGCAATTACTTCGAATTGTTGCAGACGCGCACGCACCACACTGAGCCGTTCGGTGGTTGCCACATCCTCCGCCGACTCCAGTGACTTTATGCGCATTTCAACAGGCTTCTCCACGGACGTGTCCATATTCTCCGTGCCGCTCTCCGTGTCCAATTCTCGGAGGTTGGCACGCAGTGTCTCGAGCTTCTCAGCATTTGACGTCGTGGTTGTTGCTGTTGTTGCTGCCGCAATTACGTGTGTATCTGCATTATGGTCTTTGGTAACATCTTCATTAGAATTAGGTTCACTTAAATCTAAGTTATTTGTTGTTGTTAGGCTTGTTTGCGCTTTTTGTTCTGGCGTTTCTGTAGCGATGCGCTTTAAAACGTCCTTGTGATGGTCATTGTTGTTGGCATTATCCGCTTGTTGCTCGGCGTGTGCTTGCGGTGGTGCTGGCGTTGTATCTGCCGCTGTTTTTGCTGTTGTCAAATTCAGCTCCACATGTGTTCTCTTCTTCGCAATTGGTGTTCCAGTGCCGCTGTCACTTGTTGTTGTTGTCTTTTCAGCCGGCTCAACGTTTTCTGTGTTCTGCGCATCCTTGCTTGTTGTTGCCAGTTGTAGTTCTGCAGTAGCTGTGAATCTTCTATTATCTGTAGTGGTGTGCTGCGCTTTCTCTCTCTCAGTATCACTCCCATCCGGTGTAACCTTTGGTGGCTGCGTCTTGGGCAATGCTGGAGCTGCATCATCCAAACTTGTCTCAGCGTCGGTATCATTTTCGGTATCTGAGGTCTCCATTTGTGTCTCAGTGCCCGATTTACTTTCCACCGTGTGAGTTAGACTTTCGACGTCATCGCCCTCACCATCAATGGTGTCATTGAGAAAGCTACTAAGCGCGCTGTTCATTTTGTACATTGATGTTGTTGGCGCTTCCATGCGTTGCAGACTCTTGCTTTTCTCTTCGTCCGACACGCTTTTCTGTAACAAAAATTTACTGCTAGTTGCTGCTTCACTGCTACCACTGGCACCAGCGGCAGCATCTTTTTTCGTCTGCTCAAAGAATGCCAAACGGTCGGCTATGGAGCTGCGCACGTTCTTCGGCAGCGCTGCGTTGAGACTGCTGCTTGTTGGTGTTTGCTCTGCACTCGACTGCCGCAATTGCACACCACCGACGGCTAAGTCCTCACCGCTAGCACCAGTGGTATTTAATTGCACCTCCTCGTCGGGGCATGTCTCACAGCAGTATTCACCATCCACCTCGGTCTCATAGAAACTGCCTGGTGTCAGTTGTGAGCCGCAACGCGCACATTTCAGACACGTGCGATGATAGACTTTCTTGCCGACCAATAGGCGTTCGGCGAGGAACACAGGCAATTGACATTTTTGGCACGGATCTCGCTTGGGAACGCCGACAACGTGGGCCATCTGTAAGAATAAAGAGTGATATTTTAGTATCGAGAGATTCAAATGAAATTATTATATTGATGTGCTCATTAGTTAGTTAGTACTTGAAAAAAAAAGTAAAAATTGAGGTTATGGCGCCTAAAAGTATGCAACGCACAGGGCAGTTGGGTGCAACTTGATAGGAAAGTGGACTATCGTATACCGGTATTTAAGTAACTTCTTTGACTGTGTTTTTGTGCAGCATTTGTGTAACTATAATAAAAAATATACTTTTCTGAGCAACTCTGTATAGATAAGCCTAGAAAATTTAGTGAATGAAACCTTGTAACAGTAAAATCGTTACACAAACTTTACTCATTATCCCTAAATGGATTATCAACATAAAATGTAATAGTAAAATTGTCCACGAAGTCTAGGAATTATTGAAAGGAGGAGAGATAAACTGTGAAAAACTAGAACAAGCCAAAATTTAAGAAGAGTACGTTACTGAAGACATGGCAAATATAATAACCGCCGTTTAACCTAAAATATCACCATTCAAGAAATATATTTTGACTGATAAAAAGTACGCATTTTCTTTCTTAGGATTCATCAGTGTTCAGCTAGGGTTTCATATTCAGGAAGAATTTCGACTTTACCTTCCTCCAACCTTCCGTATATGGTGTTTCTCACATATTATCTACTTTTTTTTTTTACAAATTTAAGGAAAAGGAAACCGTACGCACGTTACGAACAGTATAACTATAAATTTAGTAACCTTCTTCACATGTTCATATTTAAGCTAGTCGAGCAAAGAATACCTCAGGAGCAATAAGATCCATGTATTTTTCACTTATGTGGTATTTAGAAAGACTTTATTGTTTACCTTGAAAGAGAGAACGCTAAGTTTTCTAAATTATTCTAGTTCAATGGACAATAAATCTAAGCTGCCTAAAGTTCGTCTGATCAAAAGTAAATTTATCCAGCTATCGGAATTATTATTTTATTACTTTTAATGACCATATATGGAATTTATTAAATTTTTTAAATCAAAATTCGATTATAGGATATGTAGAGACAACGTTTTGAACTCTTATAATTGGAATTCGATTTTAACGGATTAAAGAGACAAATATTTCAACTTTTTGTAAAGAGAAGTCTATCTTTAGAACTGTGCACACCACGTTTTACAACAATCTAAATCAGTTTTTGCACTTTTTATAAAATAAAATACTTTGTTTGCTACTTGCGAAATCAATTGTCGATTTTTAAGGGCTTAACCCTATTTCTATGACTTAACAACGCAAATTTTTTTGCCAGTATTAAAAGCAAAAGTCCAATTTGAAGGTTCTAGTGACAAACTTTTGTTTGAATAGGCTGGCAAAGCATGTACATGGAAAATCATACTTTAGTATGGCAAGGCACGAAAAGCGAAAATCGTGTTTCTTCTTCACAACGCGCCACCGCTTCAGCCAATTTCAAATTTCATATTTTAATTCCATATTCATAACGGCCTTTGTTATTGCAATCACTCCATCACTTTATTGCTCTTTGTTGATTTCTCTTATCAGAAAGCGTAGATATGTATGTAAAACATGTGAAGCTATATATTTGCATATTTTTGTAGCACAAAACAAGTTATATTTAGATAGTCTAATCAGCATGAAAGTAAGTTATGTAAATATTTACTACAATTTAATAGAATGTATGTGTTTCAGAGATTATATTTTGAAAGCATCTACCGTTAATGTATCTAAGTAGAGGCAGGAGCAGCGACAGCAGCGGCAGAGGAGGCGAAAGCATTTTTAATATTATATTACATATGTATATTATATTGTTTAAAGCTATATGTAAATGACAGCAGTTAGACAATAATAACAACAATACTTATACACTACTATAGATTATAGCGCGACTTTTGAGGTTAGTGCTTGGTTAGTAGCCAGTTAGTGCACCTATGATATATGTGAGTATGTATGAGTTACAACGAAAGGCACACAGATCATAGTTTAGACTTAGAAAATACAGTTAGCTGCACACGTTGGGTGAAAGGCTTACCTGTAGAACGCAATTGTGGCGCTAAAGCGCGTGCGTGCGTCTTTCTTTAAGCGATTCTATTGTTTGTGATTGTGTGCGCTTTGATCATCCACTGTATGCCTTGCGGAATTGTTGCGCATGCGCTCGCGTGCCTAACAGGTGCGTGTGTTGGTGTTCGTGTTGATATATTTACTTGTTGCTGTTGTTATTGCTACTGTGTGTTGTGTGTGTGTGTGTAAGCTTACGAATTTAATATTTTTTTGCTGCTTAAATGTATGTGAGTATGTTCTATAGAAAATTATAGTACCAACTCGAGCACGAAATGTTGCACACTTAATTGCTAATTTAGTTTTAATTAATTTAATTTAATATATGTGTGTGTGTATGCGTAGCTTCAAAAAGAAGGCATAGCAATGCGACGTACAGACACAAAAACAACAAAGAGTCTTCAACGATTTGAATATTTGCAAAAAACACAAATTACAAAAACAAAATATTCAAGTAAATTTACGCTTAGTTGCTACTTAATTAACGCTTCATTTATATATATAATATTTATATTTGTTTTGTTTTTGTTGCTTTTCTATGCTTAAAATCTGGTTTGCTCAATTGCGTGATGTACAATTTATGCTTTTAAGCTGCTACGTGTGTGTGTGTGGGTGTGAGATACTTTCATTTGAGTGCAAAGAATTTCGCCGCTTAATTGCTTGATCCTCCTTTAACAATATTTTTTTCTTGCAAATTGTTACTTTTGCTTTTGTTTTTGTTCGTTTTCTTTGTTTTTGTTGTACATTTGATTTGATTTGTTAATTTTTTTGTTCGTGTTGTGGGAAGTTTTGAGTTTTTTTTATGTTTTTTAATTTTTTGTTAATTAGTGCTTCCTTTTTATTTTACGTTTTTGTGTTAACGGTATTATTTTTGTTCGTTAATGTGTGCACTTTTGCAATGTGTGTGTTGAAACTCAAAATAAACAACTGAGCGCTTTTTTTTTTGTTTGTTTGGTCCTATTTGTATTTAGCAGAATATCTCAGGTTTATATTGTCCAATAATGTCCAGAGTTTTCTCGTCCTGTTTAGAAAGAAATAAGTAAAAAAGAAAAAGTCGAATATATATAGAGATAACGTTGTAAATGATTAATGAAACATGAGAAGAAAAAAAATTAAGAAATTTGAAAATAACCAGCAAACCATGCAATAAAAAGAAGAGAAGGAAAATTGGGAAAGGAAGATTTGCTTATTCTAAATTTAATTGTTTTATAAAACATGACCAATGGATTCAATTCATTAATTTAAGTAATAATGCCCTTCTATGATTAGATAATGCAAATAAATTGTTTTCCAGACAGACAGCCAAATTGAGTAAATTATATATGGCATTCATTTAATTCTTCTTTTTCTTTTAATTCTTAAATTTTTTCTAATTACTATTTAATTATTATTTTTTCAACAAATTGACTTAAAATTGCATAATTAATTAGAACTACCAATTGAGTCAATTATATATTTATTATTCAATTACTTCATTATTTTATTTAATTACTATTTTATTTTATTTTTTCAACGATTTGAACAATTGAATTAAATTTGCATAATTTATTATAATTACTAATTGACTAAATTAAAGGGCTCTGTGAAAAAATGTTTCATACCACGAATCATTATAATACATTGTAATAGTTTTTACGATTTCCTTATTTTTTAATGTCAATTTTGTTTTTACTTATTTAATCTTATTTTAAATTGCATTAGACAATTAAGGGGATGGCGAAAAAAATATTTTTCTGATTTTATTGGAAAAATTTTTATGGCTTTTTATTTTATTTTTGTTATAAATTGAATGTCAATTATAATCACATTAGACAATTTGTTAATTGTTAATGCGCAGTCTGAAATGATTTTCTAGCCGTATAGCATATAATGTTTTAGAAAATTATTCAGGACTTAATTTAGTTGAATTCTATTTTTAAATTGAATGACAATTAGAATTTAATAGTCAAGTCTCAATTGCTTAGCAATTAAGGCATGGTATTATGACATTAAATTGTACTATTATTTTAGAGAAATTTTGATGATGCTATTACAACAACAATTTTTCCAAATCCGAGACCGTTAATTGAATCGGTTCATTTGAACTAACATTTTTATGATTGATAAAAATCTGCTCAGACGTGCATATTTTTTTAAGTATACTGTTCAAAATGGTCAGACAATTTCTAACCACATGTAAGAAATATAATTTTTTATTAAAGAAGTGCAATTTTTGTAGGTTAGATTTTAATGGATTTGTACCGAGATATTCCAAAAAAATGTATAAGAGAACAGTTCTAATAAAACTTTACTACGGAGGTAATTTTTTGAAATGTTTAAATGATTGTGTCAAATTTTGACTTCAGATCTCAAAGCTATTAAAGGTGTTTATAGCATATGTACTTAGATACATGTTAGGTCGTACAACACCAGTGGATGCGATTTCCCAGCAAAAGTGAAGCTGTGAAAATTTTGTTCAGTCATAATCATCTTATTATAGTACTAGTAATAAATAACTTTCTTAATAGTTATAAAATATAATAAAACAAACTTTAAAAACAAATTTTTAATCTCATATCTTCAATAAGTATGTGCTCTACAGAAAGCTATAAAATTTCCTGAGTTCGAACACGCGTTTTTTATAGAAAAATCTAAACTAATAAACAGTAATTTTAATAAATTTTCCTATACAAACCTCTCTCTTTTCCGCAGCAAAATACATTAAACTTAATTGACTTATTTATTTTTATACGGTCTGCTGGATTTAGTGAAGTCAAAACAATATGACATAATAAAGCAACAAACATAATTTTTTAAATTACAGTAATGTTTAAGCATATATATATATACATACATATTTATTCAGAATTACTCGTAAGAAATAAGAACATATACATACATATCTACAAGTAGAAAACCAAAATTTTAGTACATGAACACATAAAAGCGATTACTAGGAAAGTTTAAACATAAATCACTTGGGAGTGAAAATGGATCCCGGGGTTTAATACCAGTTCCCTGTTTCTGTCAACTAAAATGTCATTTGAGAGCAGACAACTTTTTGACTGTCACCACTTAAGGGTTAAGAAGTGTTCAAGAAAATCAAAAATTACCGTCTTATACAAAATTGCGATAAAATTAAATAAGATGATCTGAAGATTCATAATGATGATCCGAAACCATGCATTTCTATTGGATTTATATATATTTTATAAGATGCTTTGGACATAAGGATCTATGGCGCCAATTTCTGTGCCGTTTGATCGTAGTATTGATGCGTTAAATCCGCTTTCCAACTGAGTTAAAATTTCAAACTCGATTTGCTGGCGATTCTGGAGCTATATTCATGTAACAGTGTTCTTTGAAAAAAAGCCAATGACGTAAGAAGGAATGATATGGTGGCATAATTAATATTGGTGATTTAGAAATATTTTCGTGAACTAATCCATCATAAAATTAATATGAACCGAATATACAAGTATTATATTTTCTGATGTTATGGTAACAAATATAATTTTCCGAAGCCAGTAGAGCGGAAAGTTAATAAACAAACTCGTGTGCGTCATTGATTTGACAGTTTTGGTGACTGATATAGGAAAAAGTTGGTATACAAATATATACAGCGCATACATACGAACACTAGAATGGATTAGAATAAAATTATTCGCACTCTACAGTGAAACACAAAAATTAATCAAGAAAAATCTAGAAGTTTCGGGCTGAAATAGTAGTACTCGGAAAAATATAAGGTTCCGGCTAAGGAATTTTAATCGTGGACAAAATATTTTTTTACGACGGAGTTTTCGGGTTGAAAGTGAACTACTCAGAAATAAATTAGACTCAAATCAATTATAAAATTATTTATTTATTTGCTATTTTATTTTTATATATAGAAAAAAGCATTTAAAACCATAATAGAAAAATATTATTTTATGTGTTGTTTAAAAAGAGACTGCCTCATTTCCGACCGAAATCTAACAGTTTACGTAATATAAAAAGGTTTCTTGTGTGGCAAAGAAATTAAATCGTCTGACGAGTTGAAATTTGTGGATCATACTGCATAGTTATAAGCTAGCTTCATTATTAAAATAAATATGTAAATTCAATCATGTTTCATATTTTTCCATAACATTTCTCTAAAAAATTACAACCTAATCTAAGCTCAAATTCACTCTGCTATCACAATACATGTCTGTAGTATATTGAAACACAACAATTGGATGAAGCAATCTCTGGTTTTAGCTGAGTCATAGCAATTACTTTTTTTTTATTCTTTTTTTTCAAAACCCTTATCATGCTTTGATTTCGAATTGAACTGAAGTGAATCGCGAAAAACAAGCAACAATTTTATAGGTGTGGGTGCACACTTTATAAAAGCCTCTTTTTTTTTGCTCCAAAACAATTCCAATTAAGTATTCAATACAATAATATTGCACAATGATTGCGACGCGTTGTGATGGTGCGAATCTGTGGCGCATGAAAGGTCACATTGAACAGATTACAAATTAAAGTCGTGATTGCTTAGTTGACTGGCATTTTTCTAGGTTATGCAAATACTTAATGTTATTTTAAACACTTTATGATATCAAGGACATAATTTGAAAGTAGTTGTGATTAATGGGAAATGTATAATAAATAATTTGGTATAAATATACGATATTATAAAAAAGCTAGCACAATGCGCTAAAAGTTATGACTTGTACATTTCTCTACAAAATTTCTCATGTGTCCATCGCTCACTTTTTACATGGAAAATATTTATATGATAAATAATAAACTGGTCGAAAATAATAAACTATTGTATAATGAGTGGAATCTTGTATTGAGAACAAAGAAATTAATATTTGCAAAAAAATCGTGTCCATTCGCTTAACATAAACAATACAATTCGCAAAATTAATATAAATTAGTTATTTGTTTATATTTATCTGCGGAGCGCAAAATCATCAATATCAACATATTTTGATAACTTTTTAAGATTCAGCAGAATTTTCATACTCATAACGAAATTTATGTACATATGTATATATGAATGTGCGTTAAAAAAATATTGTAAGTAATAAGTAGATGATTGAGTCTCAATTTGCTTAACCAATTATAAGATTTTTATTCATATTGACTTTTATTTCAAAAGAAAATTTTGCCAAAATACAAAGAAACACTATCAACTATAAGGAAACAGATTTATTTTCAGAAACATGTGGTACTCTTCAAAATTTTTCAAAAAAGTTAGTTCTTTGAATTTTCCCAGACAAATCCAAGGAAAAAGGCAGAATCATTGAAGTACAGTAAACATTTGTATATAGCGCAATAATTAATGGAATATACGAAATAACCAAAATATGGTATAAAATATTCGTTACAGTTCCAGTGGAAAAACAACTCAGATTTTTTAAGTTTAGAATTACATATTTGTATACTCAGCATCTAGTGGACATTGGACTATATCATAGATATTTTAAGTACATATATGTTCGTGCCTCATTAATCTATCTTTATTAGTAGGTGAATCAAAGGCTTCAATTAAGCATTCACAATAGACTCACCACTTACACTTCGCTTTTTTTTGGTTCACAAATTTTTTTAAATTTTATTTTGATGGAATTATCAAACCACTTTTTCAGCTTTGAAAAATTTGTTATTTTACTTTAGTCATTTGTCAGCAATCATTTTCCGTGATTAAAAAAAGCTCAGAGTTATTTTTTTTTAGAGCACGCGACCTTATTGAATTATTTTAAAATTACACTTTCGTTTCCCCAGTAATTGCGTATGTGCACACTATTTACAAATATATATATATGTACACATTTTTTGAGCAATTTGATTTGCAAAAATACTATATTTAACCACAGGGTGAGCTGAGCTGAACTAAATTAAAGTAGCGAAAAAATGTGCGTGAATAAAACACTTAGTGAATGTAATTATTTAGAAAATGCGTAATGTCAAGCAAACAATTGCTTATATGTATAAATATATTTATATAAAATATACTATATACATACATATACACAAGTATATAATGGAAAAGTATGATGGACAATG